AAAAAAAAAACCTAAAAGAAGATTGGAGTGTCCAAAGATGTAATGTTGTTTGCTTAATCATGAAACTCATAGTTTTATTGTTTTTCTTTATAGCTTTATTATAGAGTTAAATAGTTATAATACACTTAAATCTCACTTTTTGTCTTCAATTTCTTTATTCCTTCAAATGATTGAATTCCCTCACCTTTCCTCATTTTTGACACATTTGACATGTAAATATAGTCAATTATACTAAGGTCAAGTGGGCCAGTCACTTTTCAGCAACTGGATCCTCCACGTGAAGATATTAACGTAGTTTTATATACACTGCCTAATTTAATATAGTAATGACAGGGTTTAGTAAATGATATGCATGTATTTTTGTGCATGCATGACAAAGCTGGCAGAGGTGGGATTTGAGAGGCACCTCAAAGATATGATTATCCTGAGTGTCTCTGCCCAATAATGTTACCTGCTGGGACAGCAGCACTGCTCCTCTAAATAAATTGCAAGTGGCCTTGGGCAATAAGAGGAACCCTCCTTTGATCTGCCTGACTGCCAACGAGGAAAATGTGCAGGCAGTCAATCAAGCTCTTAAGGCTTTGCAACAATGAAGCTGACCCCACTTTATTATTTATTTTCTAAATTGATGTATTTCATTATCACAAGGTGTCTACTTGGTGGGGTAGCGGGGTGGAGGAGAGAGTGTGTGTGTGTGTGTGTGAGTGTGTGTGTGGGGGGGGGCAACATGATCAATAATTGATATGCGGTGTGAAAAAGCTGATTTGCTGCCTCTCCTCTGGTGCACTTGTCACTAGCTGTTGTCAGAACACATTTGCTTTGATGACAAATTTGAAGAAGTGAACAACAGCATCACATCTTATTATAAATTTAGTGAGTTGGTGAAAGGCACGGGGCCCTTCTCGCTGAGGCTCTGTTTGTTCAGGGCGCTCTGGAGGAATGACTACCAAGCTCTGAGGTGAGTTACAGTCTTGTAAGCAAAGAGATGAGAGGGGGGTTGAACTTTTTTGTCATGTGTCAGTAAACAGCGTGACTTGTTTGAAAGGCACCTGGATTACAGGGTGAAAAGTTGCTCTTTAAACCTTTAAAGCTCTGGGATACGGGAGACACGCCACGTCAAAAACAAAGTGTGAAGATGAGGAGTGAGAGCAACTAAAAGCCATCACTCCCCAAAGTGCATCTGCTGAGAGACGAAGGAGTCGTCCTGCTTTTCACAGAGTTTGGGTCATGGCGGAGCATCTCAAACTGATCACGTCAAATAAAGAAAGATGCTCGGTTCATTCGATCGACACAGATTTGTAAAAAAAAACAAACACACAAAAAACAAATATACAGATAAGGGAAATCAAACACTGAAGAGTGCTGCGAATAACCTCTAAGCTTAAATTTAATGTGTAAGCACAACGCAGAAAGGAAGATCTGACATAAAGGTTGGAAAGTGTGGCCCAGGTATGAGAAAACTGCCACCTCAGATACAACAGAGGTCATAAAAAAGTCATAAAAAGGTATAAACCAACATTAACAGTTGTATCTTTCAAATCACCTGTGGGCCATCAGCATCGCACTAAAACAAAATCTTTATGGTGATTTCATTGCTAAGAGAAGTTCTTAATTAGCCTACATATATTTTTTTTAATTACATGTAGAGTCTGAAGATTTACTGCAAACTTTAAAACTAAATCCTGATGGAGAACAGTTCAACACAAAATCTCAGAGAAAGGAAAACAAACATATCAACAATTCAACATAATTGACAGCTGCATCCATTTGCTCATTCCAAGCCCCCGGCCCCTCCCTCCTCTCCTGCTTTTCCACTCTGTTCTTCCAACACCATTTCCTCTTTTAATTATCCCCCAGCAAAAAAGATGGAGCACATCAGACGCATCGCGGTAAATCCTGGCCCTGGCACGGGCTCACAGTGGCTCCTGCGTCTGGCAATCCCGATAGAGCCTGTGCGCTGGCAGTGACAAGACAGGGAGGATGCCTGGAGATTTTCTGACAGAAAGAATGGAGAGGATGATCTCTCAGCAAAAGAGAGGTCCTCATTCTACTCCCGGCGTGGGAGGCTTTTTGGCAAGCGCTTTCCCATCATACCACATTTTCAGCACCAGATTAGCCAGTTCTCAGGAGCAAAACTCACATAGAACCCTTGTTTACACCTCAGTACATAGTGTTTTTGTAATGACTGCACACTGCACACAAGCACGGCTGCTCTCCTATCTCCACCAGCAACATTTTAGGGGTGACACTTATTGTATGTATCAGGGTCAGAGAGACTATGGTCTGGATTAAGGGAATAGGATTTGTTTCATACTGAAAGAAGTCTCCTCTGACCAAAAAAACTGTGTTTTACTGACTGAATTGCTCATTCAGATTCTAATTAGGTATCAGCAACACGAATGGGTTTTGCTTTGGGAAGCCGGATAGATGAAAAAGGTTGCAAGTTAACTAGTGTTGGGCTGCTATCTGTCAGAGTTTCTCCTCTATTCGTGGAGTGTGCATCAATCACTGACGTCCCCAACTGACAGTCGTTCTGTGGGCTAATAGTGTCGTCATCTCCCATGCGATTACACAGATTGCGCAACGAGATCCTCGGACACAATGGAGCAGCGAATACAGCCCCCCCGTCTCCACCCCCATTCTGTTACCCTCTACTTTCCTTTTCTTCCATCATTCTAAGATGAAGAGTGGAAAGCTCCGCAGTGGGTAGCTTTCTTCTCCTCCGGGGGGAACTAAGAAAGCAGGCAAGGGTCTCTGTGATGTTAGTTTCCCTTCAGGGTGGGGAGGAGATGTCTTGTAGCACAGCTAAAGATGATCATTTGAGAGCCCGTGAAACAAGGTGCCAAAGAGACACGGCGAGGTCCCGACTAATGAGTTAGGGTTAGCTGATGTTCCTCAATGATGAAAATGAGAACAATGACAGTAATGACAGTGGCAATCACTTTTTTCCCTCAGTTTAGACACTGTATTGCACCACAGTTACACGCTTCTCTCTGCAAATAGGTCAGGGGTCAGGCTTAGCTGTAGCCCAACTCAAAGACACCTCAGCACAAAAAAAGAATAAATTCTAGCAAATGCATCACGGTCTTAAAGCTTAAACGAGCGTTTGACGGAGTACAATTTCTTGCCCTCTTGAAGCTAAAAAGGCTTTACGTTTAATTAGCGTGATGAAAGAAATGATTAATCTGTGAACATATGAGAAAAATCTAAACATGTTTCTTATGCATTCCGATAAAAACCTTTCTCCCAAAGTAAACATTTGCTCCAGAAACTCACAAAACAAAACAACATCCCATCTGATAATCCGCCACAATTACGCTACACAGCATGATGAAAGGATATCAATGGTCTACTTATGTCACAGAAAAAGAGAGGAGCTTCAAACATGAAACCTATTGAAGCCTATGAGAGTTTCAAGTCGATCAGTGATCAAAGGAGCAAAAGCTTATCAGTGCCGTTTCTTAGCATTGAAATAGTGTCATGTGGCTTTGGATATACTACCAGGGTAGGAGTGTTTATGCCTAAAAACATAATGGCTATTGTGTTTTCTGAAAACATTAGCCCTTTTTTTCCCAGAGTTAAAGCTGTAAAAAGCATACAGAGTGGAGAGGGGGCACGAGCTCTTTATCCTCATGAAAGGCTAAAGGATGGAACTGACCTTTCTGGCATCAGCTGGGCTTTGGGAGCACAATACATGGCGGCAACTCTTTCTGGCCTTTTCCCCTTCGGCTCTGGGCTATGCTTACAAGCCAAAGACTCAAGTCCAAACATCTATCATTTTATACAAAGACTCAAACGCACACATGCCCCGAACCCCTTCTTTTATATCATAAAAACACACACACACATACAAAAACAGACACACACTGAGCAGTCCTGTCTGTTCATCTGCAAACAGACCAGTCCCGTCTGACATCACAGTACAACTGCAGGCTATGGAAGCAAAAAGAGACAACAAATCACTTTAGATTACATCAACTCAAAAGCCCAACTCAGTATCAACATCAACTCCCTTTAATGGAAACTGAGCAACAGTTAAATTAGAACCTAAACCTCGTCGGTAATGCCCCGATCTAAACTTGAGCTGGGACCGGATGAAAAGCAACCGTTACAATGTGACATCCAAGCAAGACAAAATGAAAAGCATGACCTCATTGAGTACAACTTCAGCGAGTGCTCCGCAAAAATGACCTGAGCTGCTGTACACTTTAGACGCTTTGTTGTCAGGGGGGCCTCACACCCAAAGAGCCTTTGTGTTATATTTGAAAAGGCTACATCACAAGGTCATGGCGGAACAGGGGTCACGCAAATACAGAATAGCACTTGTGTGGTGGTCATTTTTGTGAGCGAGGGGGGGTTGCCAATTCTATAGGTAAACTCTAGCAGTTTGGAGATAAGTTACCCATAGGATATGAGACAAAAGAGAACAGTAGCTGGCATCTGAAAAGGTAAAGATAGTAGTCCCCAATGTGTCAGAGGCCTCATGGTCAGCAGGAGAGTATAAAAGGACCTGTAAGTGTGTCTAACTCTACGGTGCGCAAACATCCACAGTCCTACAACCATGGGAAAGGTATGAGCTCACCTGCAGTAAGGCAACAGCTTTGGACAGGTGGTGAAGGAGAAAATAGCATTAATTGAAAACATGCAGTCATGTATAGGAAGGAG